GGGTAAGAGTAAAGTAGAAGTAAACCCAGTCTACACATTCCTACTTCTAAGAAACTTGCCTTTGAAGTGAGCAAGGTAGGGGTGATGTGGGAGCACATACTTTATGTTATAATCACAAATTGCCTCTTATCTGGATTTTTAACTCAAATTCATATCACCTGGATGATTAAAGTAAAACCTTAATCCATGAACTTAGATTAAAGTGATCCTAGACATTGAGGTCAGTAGCTGTCTGTAGACACAAATCTCTCTAGAGAAAGGAAGCATCATCTTAGGCATTAAAGAATTCCCATAAATATTTTTAAAGAACAATGAATAGCACATACTCAAAATTAACCAAGAATACACAGAAACAAGTTACCCTGAGAGAATATCAACAGAAAAACATCCTTAAAACCATAACTGGAAATATCTGACAGTATAAAACAATTACTTTAAAGAAATAAGAGACAAACCTTACTATATTGGCAGATAATGAGAAAGTATAAAAGTAATGGCATAACAGGTATACAAAAGAACTACTCAGAACACTGAAAGCTATATTATTGTAATTAAAAACACAATGGATGGGTTTAGCAGATTAAGTAGAGAAGAAGAAAGAATTAATGCTCAGAAGAATTTATTCATAATGCAATGCAGGAAAAGCAAGAAATGGAAAACTTGGAAGAGACTATATGAGACATGGAAGACAGAATGCAAAAGACACTCAAGTGAGGATAGAAAGAAAAAAGCACAGGTATTCTAAGAGCTAATGATGAGATTTTCCAGAAATTTCTTAGGTGAAAGACATCAAACTTAAATCAACAGATTTTAAAAGCCCAGCAAATCACATACTGTTAAGTACAAAGAAATCTCTACCTAAAAACATTATATTGAACCTGTAGAACATCAAAGGTAAAAACATTTGAAAGAGTAGCTGTAGAAAAAAAACACAGTGACTTCAAAGTGTGAAACTTTGAGCTTACTTCGCTACAGCAGTAATGGTCTTCTGAAGACAGTAGAACTGTATCTAATATGCTGAAAGAAAATAACTGCCAATCTCTAATCCTATGTACAAGGAAAACATCTTTTAAGAATAGGTTAAAAATATATTTTCAGAAAATCGAGATCAGAAAGGTCACTAAAGATAAATCTAAATGATGTACTTTAGATAAAATTTGGAAAGTGATCACAGATTTGTAAGGTCTGTAGTGAAAGAAGGAATTAAAGGCAAATGAGTCAGTGTATATCTGGACAATTCTAAAAAATAGTGCAGGTATAACATTATAATAATGTCCAAAAGGTTTTAAGAGAAGAAAAGAGAATTAAAATTAGTGGCAGGAAAAGGGTTGGAATAATCATGTAATCCATTAAATCTGACAAAAGACAAAGAAAAAAGATCACAAAAATTAATAGAAAGTACAAAACAGGAAGGTACATTTGTACTCAAATATATCAGTAGTCATAGTAAATGTAAATAAAGTGTTAAGTGCTCTGGGTAAAATAAAAAGTTTTCCAGACTTTCTTAAAAATATAGAATATAACCACATGCTGTTTAAAAGAGATGCTTGTAAAATATAAGGATAATGGAACTTTAAAAGAATGGAAAAGTCGTAACATGCAACTACTAACTAAATGAATGTCAGAGTAACTATATTCATTAATTGAGACAAAGTAGAGTTTTATATAATAAAACTTTAATAGAGATGAAGGAGGTTATTGCAAAATGATAAAAGCTTCAATTTATCAATAAAATAAAGCAATTTCAAATTTGTATGTACCTAGTAGCATAACCTCGAAATATGTAAAGCAAAAAGGAGACAGAACTATAATAATTGTTTTTAAACTACTACCCTTTTGGAAGAGTTTAACCACTCTTCTAAATTAATCCAAGTAGAATTAGTAGGGTAAAAACCCAACAACTATGTAGATGATTTGGACAACTCATTTGCCAGACTTGACCCAATACCACATCACATCCCTAAACTGCAGACTATTCCTTCTTTGCAAACATACATAGAACAAAAATCAATTATATATTGGGCTATAAATCAGGTTTCAACAAATTTCAGAAAACTGAAATCATATGGACTATTTTCTCTAACCATGACTCAATTAAGCAAACAATCAGAACAAAGAGACAATAAAAAAATAACCTACATATTTGGAAATGAAGAAACACCTGCCTACTAGGTATCCCTGCTGTGTGACTAGCAGGTGCACAAGTTCAACATGTCCAACATGTCCACTGTACCCTAAATTACCCCTCCTTCTTTCCCCATCTTTGTCACTGACACCATTATCCATCTCATTATCTAAAGCATCATTTGTGGTTTCGCTGACATTGCCTTAGTTCAGGCTTTCAGCAATGATGTTCTCATTTTCTCTGTAACCAGACTCTTCCCTTTGAGGTCTATGTTCCTATTATCTGCCATAACAGTCTTTCTAAAAGATCGGTTTAGTCAATAAAGGCTTCATTTAAAAAAAAATTTAGACGGACCTACAGGGTATTATGCTAAGTGAAGTAAATCAAACAAAGACGAATACCATATGATTTCACTTACATGTGGAATCTGACAAATGAAACAAACAAAACAGAAACAGACTTCTTGTAGATGCAGAAAACAATCTGGTAATTGACGTAGGGGCTCCTTTTTAAACCACATTTTGATGTCATTTAAAGGCATAGGGGCATGGGGGGGAATGGATGAAATAAATGAAGGGGATTATGAGGTACAATAGAAAAAAATTAATGATCCTCAATACCAAAAGAATAAACCCTAAATTCCATAACATGACATTCAAGAATCCTTGAATAGAGTCCCTGTCTTTCTTTCCATCTTTATTTTCTCCCAAGTTCTCATGCACCTTTTGTGCACCAGCTATGCTAACTCATTTATACTTCTCTGAACAGCCCCTCCTTTCTATCTTCTCTTTACCTTTGTATATATTAATCTCCTTATATAGGATATCCTCTCTTACTGTTTACCCACCTGACCATTTCCTATATATCCTGGAAGACAAAGCTCAAGTATCACATTCCTTGAGATGCCTTGCTTGGTCAATCTTCACAGTGTTATTCACTTCTTTACTTTCTACCCGAGAATTGTTTTTTGTCCTCAGTTTTGTAAATCAGCTATTTAAATATCTGCCTATTGTGTTAGATCATAAATTAAATGCAGACAGGAATTTTTTCTCATTCATTTTTTTAAAACTCTTAGCAGTTATATAGGAAGAGCTCAAAATTGAATTTATGAATAAAATTAGAGTTAGTAAGATAGTTTAAACATATTTGTTGAAAGAAGCAAGGGTCAGTCAACAGATTGGCAATGAGAAGGGACAGGGATAGTATAACACATAGATGGAATAACATGAAAAGAATAGTGGACGGCAAATTTGGTGTGGCATTTCTAAAACCTTTTAGCATCTTGATGGAAGAGATGCCAAGTAGAGTTGTACGGGTTTTATACTGCACAACTCAAGAGGGTGTCATACACATCTAGTCAAGGATGCAAGAGTGTTGTGCAGTGCAGTCCTGAGTGGTCACATGGTTTATTTGATTAAATGAATCCCATCGTTAGTGCCCAGGAAGTAATTGTTATTTAATATAACTACTAGGAGTCATTAAGAAAAGGATTATATTTTGCATATTCTACATAATGAGAGAAGTATGTAACTCTTTTTAGAAATCTTTCCACCAAGAACAAAAAGGTTAGGTACCTAATATAGCAAATTTTAATAATAGAGAAAAAAAAAAACATTTAAAACAGGTAAGTTAGTCATTGCAGTGAATGTCCACCTGTGGTATAATTTGCAAAGTTTGCTTAAGGTTTACACATGAATATTATGACTTTTAGTCAAATAAATTCAGACCAAATAATTTAGAAAATGAATTATATACTTGAGTTACCTATTCTATTAAATAAGGGATACTCAGAAGCCAAACTGGGAATAATTAGAATTGACTGACTTGAGGGCCACCCGGGTGGCTCAGTTGGTTAAGCGACTGCCTTCGGCTCAGGTCATGATCCTGGAGTCCAGGGATCGAGTCCCGCATTGCATCAGGCTCCCTGCTCAATGGGGAGTCTGCTTCTCCCTCTAACCCTCACCCCTCTCATGCATGCTTTCTCTCTCTCTCTCTCATTCTTTCTCTCTCAAATAAATACATTAAATCTTAAAAAAAAAAAAAAAAAAGAATTCACTGACATGAACCAATGGCTTTATCTGTTTCAAAGTCTTATGCTACTTTGGAGATTCTGCATTTTCCACCTAGAACATCATCTGGTTGCTGACAGTATAAACCAGACATAGTCCTGATATTTTGTTCTGGGAAGTAACTAGAAAGAAAAAAAATGAACTCTGCTACTTTCACCTGCAAATGCTTTTTTAAAGCAATGAATCTCATTCACTGCCCACAGTCAGTAAACGATGTTTCCCATTTCCCATCCCAAGCTGAAATTCCTGGTTTGTTCTCCACCCACCTCTGACTCTTCCCTGTTGCTAGATGTGTTCTTAAAAATAGCTTCTCGGGGCGCCTGGGTGGCTCATTTGATCAAGCGGCTGCCTGCGGCTCAGGTCATGATCCCAGGGTCCTGGGATCAAGCCCCATGTTGGACTCCCTGCTCAGCGGAGAGCCTGCTTCTTCCTCTCCCTCTGCCTTCTGCCTACTTGTGCTCGCTCTCTATCTCTCTGTCAAATTAATTAATTAACTAATTAATTTTAAAAATCTTAAAAAAAAAATAGTTTCTCTCAGGGCACCTGGGTGGCTCAGTCGTTAAGCATCTGCCTTCAGCTCAGGTCATGGTCCCAGGGTCCTGGGATCGAGTCCTGCATCGGGCTCCCTGCTCCATGGGAAGCCTGCTTCTCCCTCTCTCACTCCCCCTGCTTGTGTTCCCTCTCTCGCTGGTCTCTGTCAAATAAATAAATAAAATCTTTTAAAAAAAATAGCTTCTCACAATAAGAATAGCCCTTGGCTTATTGAAAACCATGTGTTTCATCTGTTTTTAACATGTCTTCTACAGATCCTCCTGCTGTGGAACCAGCCTTTCTGGAGATCCGGCAAGGACAAGACCGAAGTGTTACTATGAGCTGCCGGGTCCTGAGAGCCTATCCAATACGGGTGCTGACCTATGAGTGGCGCTTGGGCAATAAATTATTACGGACTGGTCAGTTTGACTCTCAAGAGTACACAGAATACCCGGTGAAGAGTCTTTCCAATGAAAACTATGGGGTTTATAATTGCAGCATCATAAATGAAGCTGGAGCTGGGAGATGCAGCTTTCTTGTTACAGGTAAGATTCTAAGTATTTCACCATATGATCAAGGGATCTTCAATATAAGAAAGTGTTTTGCAAATCCATGGAACATACTATGAGTAGCTTGTCTGCTATAGTTAGAGTTACTCATTTCTTTTCAAGGCAAATTTATTTTAGCAGTAGCAGTTCATGTGCCTATAAAATTAGAAGTTTATGTGAATTCAAGAAGATTTGGTGAAGAGGTTGCTTATTTTGAGTGTTTAAGTAATAAAGTGACAAATCTTAACTAGCTTTTTTTAGATCAAATTGCAAATATTAATACATATTTTCTTTTGCAAGTCTAAAATTGCTTGTTAACCAACACCTGCTTTGGTTTTCTTAATAGTAGAAAGAGTGTTTTTTCTTCTTATTTATTTACTACCTCTATGTGGTGAAACTCAATTTTGTCCTTGGCTTACCTTTGGTTTACAAATATTCAGACAGAAAGCAATAAAGTTGTATCTGGTATATAATAAATTAGAAAAGAAGTATCAATAAATACTTTTTGATGTCATTATCTTACAGTATATTAAAAGAAATATTAAGTCTGTATTAAATCTTAGGTAATTATGTAAATTATTTTATAATCTATATACTAAGGTAAATTTGTGTGATTTTTGAGCTAGGGTTTAGACATACATTGAGAGGATATATTCCTTTTATTCCTTTTCAGGATTATTTTGTTCTGGTAAAGTTAGTTTTAATAGTTGGAGTATTCATGCTAGTAAAAGAAGAAACTGGACATTGTGTATTATCTGAAAAGCAGTTGTAAATATTATGATTAAAGTGTTTCAGACTTAATTAAAACTTGTTCATTGGTAATATAAATCTTTATTCATAAGTTCTTATAAGAAAATTTTCTAAACATGAATCACCTTGAGATATTAGAAAAAAAATAGTTTTTTGTGATATTAGATAGGTAAAATATAATGGACTAACCAAAGAATATGAAGATGTCCCCTTTGCTGGATCCTTACCACCTCTTGATTTTGCAATCCCTTTTATCAACATTCAGTTGAAATTAAAGATTTCTACTTTGATTCTTAAAATGAACTATTCAAACAAAACCAGAAGTCCCTAGGACAATACTACTTACATGGTGACCTCACTGCTAATTTTTATCCTAGGAATATTTACAAAGGAAGGAAAATGTAGTGTATTATTCTATAGTGTAATTTAAATGGCATGATGTACTTCACTGTTTAATTACCTATTATTGTCCCAAAACAATAAGAATCTTTCAAAGGTAGTTGTTTTCTACTTATTGGTAGAAATAGGTCACCTTTTTTTCATTAACCCACAAAACAAAAACACTCCATAAAATTAACTACATCCCTTTCTTCAAACTTTTGGGACTTATATACATTGTAATTTTTTTGTTGTTGTTGACATTGTTTTCTAACTTTAGGCTAGTTTAGATCATGCTACCTCTGTAAGATTTTCATTTGTTCTCTATTATGTGACCCAAATCCTATTTTCTGAACTAAAAGATAAGACCAGAAGAAACAGTTTTCCCAGAAGACACCATTTTCCCATTCAAGATCCATGGGGTGTAGTAAGTAGATTTTGATAGCTCCAGAAAGGAATAAACCTGTTAGGGATTGCCCCACAAAAGGAGAGGAAATAGACCCAAGAATTGATTTGTTTACTGTGCGCATTTTTCTATCTTCATGTCAGCCTCATTGTTTCAATATTTCCACATACAATCTAATATATTTTTGAAGAAAAACAGAAATATTTAAGTTCCAAGTATTGTATAATCTGGGAAAATAAACATTTGACCCTTGAATAACACAGGAGTTTGGAGCACCAACTCCCCATATAGTCAAAAATTTTCATATAGTTTTTAACTCCCCCCAAACTTTACTAATAACCTACTGTTGACCAGAAGCCTTACTGATGACATAGTCTTGTAACACATATTTTGTATGTTACATGTATTATATACCTTATTTTTACAATAAAGTAAGCTAGAGAAAAGAAAATGTTATTAAGAAAATCATGAGGAAAATACATTTATAGTACTGTGCTGTAAAAACAAACAAACAAACAAAAAACAAAAACAAAAAACCAGAAACCTCCATGTGTAAGTGGACACATGTAGTTCAAATCTCTGTTGTTCAAGGGTCAGTTGTATAAAGAAATCAATGACTCCATAGAATCAGAGGTCTCGAAGAAACTTCAAAAAGACATTTATTTCTTCTATTAAAACACATCACAGGGGCGCCTGGGTGGCTCAGTCGGTTAAGCGACTGCCTTCGGCTCAGGTCATAATCCTGGAGTCCCGGGATCGAGCCCCACATCGGGCTCCCTGCTCGGTGGGGAGTCTGCTTCTCCCTCTGACCCTCCCCCCTCTCATGCTCTCTGTCTCTCATTCTCTCTGTCTCAAATAAATAAATAAAATCTTTAAAAAAAAAAATAATAAATAAATAAATAAATAAAACACATCACAGTTAGTAATCCTTATGAATTTCCCACAATTCAAAACCCTTTGAAGCTATACTGAGGGGACTAAGGAATAGGATATATATGAAGAAGACATATATTCTTTATGCATATATTCTTTATCCACAAAACAGATCTTTGAAGACAATTCTATTTATTTTCTGACAGCCAAATTAAGAAAATTTTAATTTTTTTATTATTATAGCTATTTTATCAAATTCAAGATCCCTCTTCCACTAGTCATGAAGTTTTTACAGTCACTCAAAAATGAACTTGATCTCACTATGCATCAAAATGTACAGAATTGAACTAAAAGGCAATGGCAGCCCTCAGATTTATATTTACTTTAGCTCCCAGGAAAGTTAAAAAACTCACACCTCCTTTTCCCAGTTATATCATGTGTGTGTGTTGTGTGGGAGTATATGGAGTAGGTGAGTGGGGTTGTGTTTACTGAGAGGTCAGGGTGTGAGAATATTTTCCTGCAAAGGAAAAGAAGAAGGTAAGCAAAGATATTTTGGGAACAGTGAACAGCCTAGCTTGTAGCGCACTGTCCATGTTAGAAAATATTAACTATAATACCACAAAATACAGTGTATTTGCATTTCTTTTATTTACTAATATCGTTATGGTAAAGATAGCATAGTTTTGTTTGTTTTATGGTTTAAGTAAGCTTTGTGAACAATGGTAGGAACCTAAACACCATTTATCATGTTTTTCTATGGAGAATTTTTACAAGTTCCAGGAAGTATATATACACAGTTATATAAAATTTAGATTTATAAACCATTTAGAAATTTGATCAATGGAGACAATTTTAGATTCTTTTAAATGAAACATATTAAAGGAATAGTGTTTTCTTTAACGGGTAACAGTGAATATATACTCTATAAGAATTTTTATTGCATAACTACAAAGTATAATTACACATGAAACAACCTATATGTATTGTCTCCTTTCTGATGAAAGTTTTGCAATCTGGAAAATATTTAACAATTATTTACTGTGTAACTACTAATTGCTGGGTACTAGGGTGGACACCAGAAATAGAATAATAAATACTTTCTCCCAGAAATCTTTCACCATCATGTCAGTTTCTAAGTTTTATCAGTTGTATATTTGTTTGGTATTTTGAATCTATCATTTTATTTTTATCCCTATTGCACTTGTAAAGCCTTATATTCTCTTATCTGGGATATTACAGTAGACTTTTATCTGATATCTGAATATTCAGCCTCTTTCCCTTTCAGTCCATTTTCTATACTGTGGGACTTTATTTTCCTAGAAAATGTGTCTTACTCTTACTGGAAAATGTTGATGATCTTCATGGCCTGTAGGTGATATATAAATTAATTGTCATGAATTTTCAAATCACTCATTAATATCCCAAATAGAATATATAAAATCATCTGTCCTTCAATCCTACCAGTTACGCCAACTCTAGTCAAATTAGATCATGCCGCCTGCCACCAAATCATTACAAATTTTCAAGACTCTCTACCTTTGTTCACATATTACTTTATTCTTAAATACTAGCCCTTTGTGTATTCCACTACTAGATTATGGTAACCCTTGTGTATGCCTTTACTAGGGTCATTTTGGTTCTTGTTCCTCAGCCAACTAGAGATGTGTAGGTTGTAATACTATATTATTTTATAATTCACAAATTAATTATGTATGTTATTATTTTTCAAGTATCTGAAAGTATCAGTAAAACTCCAAGTAACCGTGATTTGAACAAGATAGAAAATTATTACACTCAGGTTAAGCCTTGAAGTATCATTTCAGAAACTAACAATGGCTCTTCCACAAAGTCTTCAGGGATTCGGGTCTCTTCCATCGTATTGTTCAATCATCATCAGTAGATGGCACATCTTATAGCAGTAATGGCTACTGAAGTCCCAGCTAATTGCTTCTACATTTCAGTGAATTACCTCTTTTTAAGGAAACTTCCTTAAAAAGGAGTAGTTTTAGATACCCTTTCTACTTGCATCTCATTGGAGACAATCCTATTGGTGTATCTGCAATAAAAGCTATGGAGTATAGATTTTATTCTAAGATTATATCACACTTGCTCATATATATTTCAAATTGCCTTAATTGAAAATATTGCAATGGAATTAAATGGAGATTTTCAAGGAAAATCTCGGTTTTATCCCTGGAATACATAACACCATTACTGACAGGCAACTTTTCAGGAACCATGGCAATTGAGGTCTTAGAATAACTTGAAAAGACAAGAATATGTTTAATCAGAGACTTCATAATATATTCTATTGATGAGCAATGGAATTGAGGGTACTGTGTTACTTATTGCTGCCTAACCCATTACTAAAAACTGAGCATCTTGAAAGAGCACGCATTTATAATCTTACAACTTCTGTGTGTCAGAAGTCCAGGCATGGCTTAGCTAGATCCTCTGTTCTGGGTCTCACAAGGCTGCAATCAAAGTGTTGGCTGGAATGTTCTTATCTGGAGGCTCACCTTCAGACAGGAAGTTGAATCATGTCCAAACTTTTAAGGTTATTGAAAGAATTAATTTTCTTATGGTTGTA